TTTGCAGGGCTGTTGTGAGGGCTAGGTGAGTGCAGAGTACCCAGCACATGGTCTGACCCACTCTGGGGCACAGGATCCCAGTAACTGTTGTGATGACTGTCAGCTCTCTCAGCACCAGTGCCAGGGACACAGGGCAGTGTAGCAGCCGAAGCGTGGATAGATCCATATCCTGGCCTTGGTACTTTTCAGCTGAAGAGCAATGATTTAACCACTTTGTTTAGTTACTTGTACTTCTGTACACCTAGGTATGTGAATTTTGAGTGACGGTTTTTTTAATTTTAAGGTTTTTGTGTGTGGCAGTTTTATGGAGAAGAATTTCTGGGACCAGTGACTTAGTAGAGGCTCCCTTGCTTGGCCACTCTGCCACCCGATGAGTCTCCGTGAGACCTTTTTGTTGTGGGATCATGTCAAAATGGTCATGTATGCATCAACACATCATTCTTTCAAAAAACTTGATGATCTAGATGAAATGGTCAAATTCCTACAGCGCAAAATACCAAAACTAACTCAAAAAGAAATGGAAAATATGAATGGATCTACAAGTAAAGAGATTGAGTCAGTAATCCAAAAACTTCCTATATAAAGAAAAGTTCAGGAACACATGTGTTTATTGATTCATCTACCAAACATTTAAAGAAGAATTAACCCTGGTAAGTCACAGATTCTTCCAAAAATAAGACAGGATATTCCCTTATTCATTCTGTGAGCTTAGTGTTACCCTAATACCAAAACAAAACAAACAAAACAAAAAACCAGACATCACAAGAAATGAAACTACAAACCATTATCTCTTATGAATACAGATGCAAAAATAGGAAAAAAATACCATCAACTGAATTCAGCAGCACAGAATTCTTTTCTGAATAATTCAGAAAAGAATTATTCACTACAACCAGGTGGAATTAGTCCATGATTGCAAAGTTGGTTCAACACATGAGAATCAATAGACCATATTAATAGAAATAAAGGACAAAGGTCACATGGTTGTATCAATAGAAAAAGAAAAACACTTCATAAAATCCAACACCCTTCATGGAAAAACAATCAACAAATTAGAAATTTGAAATGGGAGGGAACATCCTACTTGTGATCAAAAGTATCTATGGAAACCACAGCTAACATCACAGGTCATGGAGAAAGACTGAAAGCTTTCTCTCTAAGAGCAGAAGAGTCATGGATTTTGCTCTTGCCAGTTTTAGTCAACACTGAATTGGAAGCTATAGGCAGGGTATTTAGGCAAGAAAAAGAGATAAAAGGCATCAAGAGTGGAAAAGAAGTAAAACTCTTTATCTGCTGATGCCATGATATTTTATAGAGAAAACCCTAAGGGACAAAATGGCCAGGCCAGTAGTGATAGAGGCTATGCACAGACTCGGCAACAAGGATTCACCCTCACCGAGCCGGCCTTGCTAACACCTCCACTGAGGGCCTCTTATCTCAGCAACGGAGATGAGTGTTGATCCCCTAATATGGTCACTGAGGGAACCAGCCAGTCACCTGGTGGCAGGTTAATAATAACTGGACCTCTTCCATCTTGGAGGGGGCAGATGTTTGTCTTCACTGGAATAGATCCAATCTGGATACGGTTATGCCTTCCCTGCCCCACCATGCTTCTGCCAGCAGTACTATCTACAAACTCACAGAACACCTTACCCACCATCATGGCACTGCCCCCAGCATTGCCTCTGATCAGTGCTTCCCACGGCATTGCTTCTTGTACAGCCAAGGGAATGCAGCAATGGGCTCTGGGCCATAGACTTAGTTGCTTTTAGCATACTCCATCACCTAGAAGCAACAGAGCACATTCTGAAAGCTTTCTAATGTGATGTGAGGGCTTACTGAAGACTCAGTTTTCATGTCCGTTGGGAGTCAACATCCTAAAAGGATGAGGTGCCATCCTAGAGGAGATGGTATATGCTTTGAAACAGAACAATATATGGTGCTGGTGCCCAACAGCCAGATCATACAGGTCTTGGAATCTAGTGGTGGAAGCAGCTTGTCTCACTATTAAGCCCCAAAATTCACTCATAGAATTTTTCCTTCTTATCCTGGCTCCTTTGAGCTCTGCTTGTTTGGTGTTCTCAGTCCCCAGAAAGGAGCTGCTCCCGGGGGTCACCCCATGACTCCAGGTAAAGAACCCCAGACAGCGAGGCACTCTGCCAGAACTTATAGCAGAGAGAAGAAAAGCATGACCAATGTGTCTGTGAAGAATCCAGGCACAGGACAACCTCTCAGAGGGCTCGCTTCTGGAAAATACATTCTGGGTAGTTATTGGAAGAATTTTGATTCTAAGTTTATAAAAAAGAGAGAACAGGCATGCATACTGATTTTTATTTATTTGCTCATCTAAATGGAAAGAAAAGTCCGTGTTTTAAGGTCTGTAGAAGAGGAAAAATCTTTTCCAAACCTCCGAGGGTCTTGAAGATGCAGTTAAAAAAAACCTTTCTTACTACCTTGTCTGTATAAGTTATAGCATAGGATAATGCAGAGCAGAGCTGCTGCTTCATACAAAATTAGTGTTAGTCTTATTACACACCCATTTAGCCATCGCTAGTGATTATGCTAAGGTTATTACTATTTATATACTCCATTTACTTCTAGCTAAAGGGCCAGCTTGTTCCTTTAAAGCATTGCCTATTTTGTCCACATTCTAGTATTGTAGTTAAGTTCAGTGCTCTGGAGCCTGAGGCCGAGGCGTGAATGCTATCTCAGTCACATTCTAGCTCTGTGATCTTGGGTGAGTCAATTAACCCATGTCTGAATTTCCCTCTCTCTAAAATGAGGATGACAGTGATATCTGCTTTGGACTGTTGCGTGGAGAATTCAGTACCATAACATATGCAAACAGCACTTGGCCCATAGTAAACAACGAATACTTGTTAGCAGCTGTTAATATTATAATTTGGCAATGCTTGCTCTAATTCTCTTTGCCAGGAATATAAACCATTTATTTCCCTTCCCTCTCTTTCTCTAGCAAAATAACTGCTGTGGACTGAATTGTGTCTGTCCCCACTCCCCCACATTCATATGTTGAAGTCTTAACACCCGATGAGACCGTATTGGATAGAGGGCCTTCAGGGATGTGATTAGGGTTATATCAGGTCACAAGAGTGGGGCCCTAATTCAACTGGGTGGTGTACTTACGAGGAAGAGACGCAAGAGATCTCTATAGAGAGGAAAAGTCATGTGAGGACAGACAGGAAAGGTGACCATCTAAACGCCTGGAATAGTGACCACACCAGAAACCAACCCTGACAGCACTTTGATCTTGGACTTCCAGGCTCCAGAACTGTGAGAAAATAAATGTCTGTGGTTTAGACCTTGAGTCTGTGGTATTTTGTTATGGTGCCCTAGCAAACTAAGACAATGACATTGAAGTCTCTGAATTCACCTGTTTAATGAGAAACACATGAGTAGTGCTGACACTGTGTCCGATGCCATCCTTGGATATGTTTACCCACTGGACTGAAGTCTGGTGTCTCCGGGGTGGGAGCTGTCACAGCAGGGAGTCACACGCCACGTACACTGCTGCCCACGTGATTCCCTCTAGTGCTCATGTTTTCAACAAACTTTATTGAGGTCCTAGACTGACACAAAGATGTGCAGGAGTTAGCTCCTGTGAAGAGCTCTCAGTCTTATTTCTTTCTTCTTTTAGGCCCATCCCAGAGGATTTTGTAAGAATAGTAATTTGGGTGATTGAGTCACCAGATTCTAGAGTAATATGAACTAACATCAGCTGTGGCCTCCCATTCCCTCACTTGCTGGGCAGTGCTGACTGGAGTCCTGGCCATTCCACTTCAGGGGATGCCCAGAGCCCTCCCTCGAGGTCTTCTTCCCATGTCCTCTTCTCTCCGAGTCCCTGTCTCGATGGGCTGGATTGCACCCTAGAGCTGCCTTTCAAAACCTTGGCTCACAGCGAGCATGCACACACGTAGTCGTCCCAGCTGAAGGCTTAGCGATCTAGGGGAGGCGGCTGGGGGTCATGGGAGGCAAGGCCCAGCTAGGGACCTTCTCTCCTACCTGTGCAGCCTCTTTTCTGTTGATCTTTTCTTCCAGAATTTCCCAGGAATTCTTTTCCCTTCAGTGTGTGGAACAATGCAACTGAGTTACAAGGCTCAGACTCGCAGAAACCCTAGTTCGTAAGGCACTTGCAGAACAAAGAGCCTTCCCTTTTCAGGCAATTTTGCTAATACATTTATTATAAATAAGTATTGTATAATATGCATGATATGTTTGCAATAACATTATATATGCATATTACATGTATGATATAATAAATATTATAAATATATTTATAAATAACAAGCATCTCATTTTTCTTCTTTTTACTACACGAGGAACAGTTAAGGCAATTTGGAGGTAAAAGGAGCTGCTGCGTTTAGAGGTCTTGGTAGAACTGTCGGGTCTGCATCTCCTCAGATTCACTCATTGGCTTGTGGAAAGCTGTTTGGAATTGACCGCAGAATTTACTTCTCAGGTGTAGCGTGTTCAGAATCTGGAAGTAGGAATTCTGTAAATCATGTACCTTTAGAATATAAATCAGGGCAAAATGACTTTTTCCAATCTTTTATTAAGGCTTTTCTAAGCTCATAATTAAATATTAAGCAGAGAGAGAGAGAGGGAGGGAGAGATCCAAAAAGTTTATTAGCTCACACTGACTTCCGTAGTTAACCTTTGTGGTGGTAAAGTCAGATTTGATTCCTATGTATTTTGCCTCTAAATGAATTACATAGAAAATGTAAAAATGCACGCTGAGTAATCAAGCCAGCGTTTGTATTTTAAGGATGCAATTATTTTAAGGATGCAACGCGTTTGAAACACGCTCTACTCCTGGAAAGCTCTGCCCCAGCGCCTCAGTGGCGACTAGCAAGAGGGCTGGGCGGCCGCTCTCAGCACTGACCCTCTCGGGGCGCTCCGCGTACCCTAAACACAGATCCCGGCCCGGAGAGACAGCCCCCGCGGCTCCTCAGTGTCCCGCTAGTCCCTGGCTTCCATCTCACTCTCTGCCGGCCGCCTCCCCGCCCTCTCCCGCTGCCCACGCCCCTGCGGGGGGAGGCAGGGCAGGAGGCGGTGGTCGGCCCGCCCCACGACCCTATTAAAGAGTCCCGGGCGAGGGCTGGGTACGGTGAGCCTGACGGCGAGGAAAGTGGTGTGCCGAACTCCCGGAGTGCCGCGCAGGGTCCAGCGCCCAGGACTGCCCTTTCCCGGCCGGGGAGGGCGCTCCGAGCCGCCCCCCTTGCCCCACGCCCCTTGTGCCCCTCGGCCGCTCCCCTGCTCAGCCCTGCGGGCCCTGGGAGGTCGGGCCATGCGACCAGGCTAGTGCGCCCGGGGCGCAGCGCCGAGCCGCTGCCCTGCCGCCCGCTCCCGCCGCCGCCGGCATGCTGCGCCCGCTGCTGCTCGCGGCGCTCTGCCTGGCCGGTCGGCTCGAACCCAGCTACGGCTGCCAGCTGCCGTCGGAGTGGAGACCCCTGAGCGAGAGCTGTCGCGCCGAGCTGGCCGAGATCATCGTGTACGCCAAAGTGCTGGCGCTGCACCAGGAGGTGCACGGCCTCTACAACTACCTGCCCTGGCAATATGAGGCTGGCGAGGCGGGGCTCTTCTACTCCGCGGAGATCGAGATGCTGTGCGACCAGGCGTGGGGCAGCATGCTCGAGGTCCCCGCCGGCTCTAGGCTCAACCTCACTGGCCTGGGCTACTTCTCCTGTCACTCCCACACCGTGGTCCAGGACTACTCCTATTTCTTCTTTCTCAGGTGAGCCGGGCGTGCCAACAGCACCATCTCTGCCCGTCTGCATGACCTCTCACAGAACCCTGTCCGTGCTATATGAGAATATGCTTTGGGGTCCCCCTCTTTCGTTCTAATCTGCCTCTCTCCAAAGATCCCAGGTATCTCTGGCTACGGGGGTTTTAAAAACAGGAATGATTTCTGGGCTTCATGAAAAGAAGAGTTACAGGCAACCGCTCGAGGTGGTTTCCAATACTCCATTCGAGTCAACATTTTTTTAAAAACTGGATTCAGTGGGAGTGGCTTGGGCTGGTGAGAAAGAAAAAAAAAAAACCTTTGAAGTTGGACTGTTGTTGGAATTCTGCTTCTCCTGATTTTGCCCAAGTTACTGACCTTCTCAAGAGCTGCAATATCCTCTCCTTAGTCACGTGCAAAGCAGGGTTGATTGAGACTAGAACACAGTAACTCGTGCAAACACCTGGTGCAGGTTAGACGCAGGAATAGCCACACTCTCTTCTCCCCACCTGCTCCAACGCCTGGATATGAATGGTGTGGAATGCAGCCCAGCTGTCCTCTGGTTTCACTCATATCCGTTGATATCAGTCTCCTATCAGCTGCCAGCAAACCTCAATGCCAAGCTGTTCAAAATAGCCAGGGTTTAGGGGGGTAGGCTTCTGGGGTACCACCCAAATCATGGTGCTTCGAAGAGGATAGAGGTGAGTCAGGCAGGAGATTGTCTCTGGTTGGAGACTCCTGGAATCTTGTGCCATGAAAGTTGGCCTGCGGTCAAGATGGGATGTATATGCATAGAGAGTTCGGTTCGTGGTTCCACTAAAGTCTGAAACAGAGCAGCAGGTGAAACCCTAAATGCTGCTGATACAGAGCAACTGAGGGAAACATCAAAATGGAATCTAACATCTACGTCCAGATAGTGAACTAACCAAAGTTGGGATTGCTACTGGTTCCAGTCTGCCCAGTGTATGTGCCTAGCGATAAGGATATTTGAATGCATGTGACCTTGGTCTGCAGATGCACTTTGAGCTCTTGAGATTTCACGTTTCTCGGAGAAGGAAACCAAAGTTACACAGAGGGCATCCATGAGCCCACGGCAACACATGTTTCCCATATTGAAGCCAGCACAGCTAAGTTTAGAACCCATGGGGCATGCTTGGTGTTGGCTTGAGTGGTTCAGCTAGGTTCAGTTGAATTTTTTTTTTCATTCCTGGGGAAGTATAGTTTCTAAATAAAGTCAGCAGGGACTGAGACTGTACCTATCTTATACACAGAGGCTTAACTAAGATTTTTCATGTTTTTATTTGGGAAAAACACTGAGAACCCAGCTATAAAACTACACAACACTGAAATTCCATTTTCCAAAGCAAAAAGAGCTGGAGTACTTGAGTAGACATTGTTTCCCCCGACCTCCTGACTTTATAATGAAATACAGTTTTGTCCACTGACTCTGTGGTAACCAGCCACCTCTGTCAGCTTTTGCTCCGACATACTCACAAAGAGTTAGGACAGAAATACAGAGTTAAATAGTAGTCTGACACATTTTCATGTCACAGGGCTGTGTTGTCCTGAAGAGTATTAACAGCTGCATACAAATCATTCCTCCTCTGTTATTTGGGGACCCACTGAGACAGATTCTGGTCAGTGTCACAGGGAAAAGTGTCAGTGGAGACCCGCTGGTGAGCTGAAGTGTAACTTCTCTCTCTCCTGTTCTTTTTAATGACTTTATCTTTTCAGCAGGCTATTTACACAAAGCTCTGTAAAAATGTTAACTAACATTTATATTGCACTCATTTCATGCCAAGTACTTTATTTACTTACATTTTCTAATGCAGTCCTCACACTGCCACCAAGAAGTAGGTGCTATTATCTTGTTTTTACAGATTGGAATACTAATGCTCAGAATTTTAAAAATCTGTTTCATGCCAGACAGAAGATAAGTAGTAAGGGTAGGATTTGAACCTGGGTCATTTCAACTGGCTTTCCTCACACCAAGAAACAAGGAACACCCTCTAGGAGAAGGAGGGCCTCTTGGGAGATATACAAATAGGTAAACATACATGCAAGCAAGCATTTTCCCCCTGCTTTACCCAAAGTCATCTATTTGAAAACCTTAAGAATAGATGCATGTATCTGAGGCAGAGAAATAATTAGAAACAGGAACTCCTCTGATGAGAGCCCTGTGAGACGTGGTTGTGTAATTGGCGGGACCGTCTCAGTCTTCTGACTCTTGATTAAACTGGTATACACCATAGGCGTCCAATCTACATCTGCTTTTTTTTCCCTCTTTTCCACTAGGATGGATGACAATTATAACCTCTTGCCTCATGGAGTCAACTTCCAAGATGCCATCTTTCCTGATACTCAAGAGAACAGAAGGATGTTTTCCAGCCTTTTCCAGTTTTCAAACTGTTCCCAAGGGCAGCAGCTGGCCACTTTCTCCAGCGACTGGGAGATCCAGGAGGACAATAGGGTAAGAATTGGCTGTATCCTGTGCAACAGCGACATGATAGAATAGCCACATCTTCTATGAGGTTTTTTTTTAAGTTTTTATTTATTTATTTTTAGATAGAAAGACAGGGAGGGAGAAAGAAAGGGAGAGAAACATCGATGCAAGAGAGAAACATCTATCAGTTGCCACTCGTATGTGCCCTGACCAGGGACTGAACCCGCAACCTGGCATTTGCCTTGACCAGGAATCAAACCAATGACCTTTTGCTTTGTGGGATGGCATCCAGCCAGCTGAGCCACACTGGTCAGGGCTTTATGAGTTTTGTGACCAAAGGAGTGAAGAATACTCTTTAAAAGCCCAGACCAAAGAGTATTATCCTCCCTTCTCCCTCCCACCAGCAGTTAGAAAACATTGTTCATGTACTGCAGATTTCTGAGGCTTTGCCATTTGACACGGGGTCCCTCACAGAGCGAGGGAACAAGACGGGAAGAAGGTCAGCATGCCTCACCACAGCTCCTTCTTCTGTGATGTGGAGTCAGTAAGAGCATGCACACCATGGGGCAGATGCCGTGTGGTCTCACTATGTGGCTGTATGAAGGTTTAAGTCCTTTGCACAGGGTTTGACAGAGTCAGCACCCTACACATGTGGGCCATCGTGACTGCCATCATCACCACCGTTATTGTTCTGGTGGTGTTCTCGATCGTGTAGCACTCTAAGAAATTTTCTAAGAGGAGAGAGAATGTCCTTAAGGAAGTGAAGTGGAATTTTACCACAGCTAACACTTCTATGATGTTTAACTATGGCTGTTAAGACACAGAGGTACAGGGTGGCCATGGTGGTTATGGTGGTCAGGGTCAGGGTGGTTTGGAGGATGAAGACATAAAAGAGGGAATTTTAAGGATCGTTACTTTCCCAAAGCAATGGCCCCGGTGGTGGTGGGATGACTGTGGAACCAGCCCAGTGCCCTGTCTGAGACTTTTTAAGGCAAGGTGACAGACTGCTGGAGAGAGTTCTGCTGTGGGGATGTGGGGACCCCAAGGAACAAGGGCTGTTTTATGGGTTAATGAACCATTGTGCATATTTGGGGGCTTTGTCCTTCCACCCTTATATGATGGGTTTGTGCGAAGTGCTTGTCTCTTGCCTGGTAAGTTGGCCTAGGGACTCTGCCTTGTTCTTCCAAACTTACGTGCCTTCTGCACAGCGCTCCCTGGCACCTGGGGGCCTTCTTCATACTCCTGTACAGAAACTGTTAGCCTGGTGGGCAGGTACATCCAACTAAGGAAAACTGTTTATTTTTACTTCCTAGGTATTATGAAGAGGTTCTTCCCTTAGACCTACTTTATTAATAGCAGTCTAGACTCCTCTACCCCCTTCCCTGGTTTGTCAGGATTTCCTGGACACTTGTCCTATATTTTGCTCCCAGCATGGTACCAAGCACCCGTTTCTTACCATTTTTAACCTGTACTGGCCCCGCTCCTTTTGCCCTGGGCCTGCCAAGTGTAAGCCTGAGTATCCCAAGCCTGAGTCATGTCCTAGCGCATTCCAGATGAAATCCTTTTAGGCACAGCCATTGGGTTCTCCGTTTCGTGGGAGCCTTGCTTATACTCCTAGAGCCTTGATAACAATGTATTTATATGAAGAGATCAGATAATATTCCAAAACTATTTTAGTAGCTTAGCCCCAAACTCTTTGGTTACATAACTTATTAGTCCAATGGTCACATAATGAAACTATTAACATTTCCTGGAATTAGATTTTCCATCATTGAAAAAAAAACAGAACAATAGGACCAGTGGAGAATTGTTTCAGTGTGCGGCAGCCCTGTTTCTGGTGGTCAGATGTTGATCTTGGGCAGAAGGCCTCCTCATTTGCCCTCTAATCGCCCCAGCCACTCAGATGACGAAGTGAAGGAGGCCACCTGACTCTGAGGAAGAGTCAGGAGCTTTGGGGGAGGAAAATAATCGTTCCGGGTTGCTGAGCTCCTGTGCAGCTGAATTTAGAAGTTAGATCTGATGTGCCTTGCACTTTTTAGCTAGCTAAATTAGCTAGCTAGTTTAGAATTTAATTTCCTCTTTTGTCAATATTAGGATTTACATTTTATGATATTCCTTGAGAAATTTTTATGTACTCTGGAGCGATTAAAGTAGTTGTGAATTGATGATCTCAGAGTTGGGTGAAGAATTATCAACAATTACTTGTTCCTGTCTTCAAAAAAAGATGTTAAACATTTTCTGCCTTTTCTGTGTGAAGGTAAGTATCACATTGTCTCTCCTACCCAGGATGACTATCTTGTGTTCTGTCAGAAGGAATCTATACTTTTCCTGTGGGGGCCCTCACTTTAGGGAGGAGTCAGAAGAGCTGTTCAGGTCACATATTTATTTCAGTGGAAGTAGGTCTGAGGATACTTTTGAAAATCGGAGCCCAGGAACCCTTCACATGTTTTGAGCCCATTACAAGTGGCCTAGGGCATTGCCTGTTACATGCCTTTCCTTTGAATCACATGCTGTATTGTCCATCCCTCACGAGATGGGTGAGTCCTTGGGCTTTCTACTGCTCAATCTGTCACTCTCAGCTTCCAGTCAGCTCGGACGATGACTGAGGCTATGGACGTGACAGGCAGCTTTTAGTCTCTTCACCGACAGGTCACCCTCCCTCCCTCTGTGTTGGAGGGTCAGTGAATCTGGGACTCTGAAGTCCATCCAGATGCTAAGACATGGCAGAGGAGGAAGGTCGCACAGGGACACTTTGTGATGCACACCCAACGCCTCGTTCACCCCAGTCCTCCGCAGCACAGCCTCCCTCTCCCTAGTTCCATTTTCAGCCGTCCCACCCAGCCTCACAAGCAGAAACACAATCTTTCCAAAGCTGCCAGGGAGTCAGCAGTGTTACTGAGTGTTCAGTGCTGCTCTGCTTCAGTGTCATGGTGTTAATGGGACCTTGGGGGGTGCCTTTGGCAAGCTGGAGCATCCAGCAGACTTACTGGCAGGATTCTCTCCACACCAGCCAAGGACATTTTTCTTTCTTCTTTTCTGTCCTGCTGGGTGAGTATAACTGTCAAAACAGAAGTTGGATATTTTCCTTTCTCTGTAAGTACTGTCCCCTAGGACCAAGACCCAGACTGACCCATACTTGCATAGATCTCTCACAGAATGTCATGGGGTTGAAATACAATTTGTAAAAGACCTCTGGCATCACCGTTCTGAGTCGGGAATGGTGGGGGAGTTATTCTTTAAGCTGCATTAGAAGGAATATACACGCGATCTGAAGATCTTGATTGGCTCCGCCATTTCGAGAGGAATGACCTTGGGAAGGGCCCTTCATTCCTCATGATGTCAGTTTTCTCATCTATAAAATGGGGCTACAATATACTGTGCTGGCCAACAAGTCCATTACATTTTTTCCACACAATGACTCTAGTAGTACTTAGTTGCCTTTAACTTCATTCGAAACAATTTTGTTACATTGTATTGTGACAGCTGTCATATCAGCGTGCATTTAAAAAAAATCAAAATTGATGAATTTTTGTGCAGCCATTTAAAAATTGAAGATGCAAGAAAATATGCAACTTTTTGGTATATTATGTTCTATTGTTTCAAGAAAGGTAAAAACACAACTGAAACGCAAAAGAAAGATTTGTGCAATGTATGGAGAAAGTGTTGTGACTGATCAAATGTGTTAAAAGTGGTTTGTGAAGTTTCTTGGTACTATTGACATTTTGGCCAAATAATTCTTTGCTCTGGGGACTGTCTTATGCATTGGAAGATGTTCAGCAGCCCCTCTGGCCTCAACTCACTGGAAACCAATAGTGGGAGACAGCTGACATGCTCAAAATGTCCAAATTCATAAAGTTATTGGTGCACATAAACAATATGTCTTTTATTTGATGGAAAGAAACGTAACAGATTTTTCAGCCAACCCAAGATAAACTCTCAGGTTGTTATAAGGACTTAACTAGAGCATATTTGAAAGTATATATACTTTATAAACTGTAAAGGGTGATACAAGAGCTTATTACTGTAAATTGATCATTTTTAAAGTGTGCCTTTAAAAATGATATATTTTTAAAATTTAAAAAGCTTCCTGCTGCTTCCCAGGGGAGTGGCAGAGTGGTGGCAGTGTGGTGAGGGACAGTGTGTTGCAGATGGGGACACAGGACAGGCAGGCCACCACGTGCCTGCTTTCATGCATTCAACGGAATGTGTTGGATTCCATGCAGGAGCACTTAACTCCTTCACTGAGTTGTAATCACACACTCATATGGGTTCCCAAATCTGGAAGTGTAAAAGGGGAGTTCGTAGTTTCTCTCCCACCTCTGACACCCATCTGTCCAGTTCTCACCTACCCTTGAAACAAGTAGCTGCTGCTTTTAGTTTCTTATAAATGTTCAGTGAGTGTTTTCATCCGACAAATAATGCAGGTGTGCATTGTTTGCTGCCTTTGACACAAGTGGCAGCGCACCATGTGTACTTTGCTTTATTCATGAGGATGCCGTGATCTTCCCATATCAATGCATACACAGTTGCTTTAAATAGCTGCATAGTATTCCATCATATGGATGTGTCCCAATGTATTTAATTAAGTCCCCATGTTGACAGGGAGTTAGGTTGTTTCTAATGCATTCCTCTTACAGAGAGTATGGATATGTATAATATTATACATACCTCATTTTGTGGGACTGTTGAGTTTAGTCTTTAGCAAACACTGAGTACCCACTGTGAGGCAATTACTGTGATAGTTAAATGTTGAGCAAACTATGAATTCCCTAATCTATAAGGTTTATAGTCCTGGTGTTGGTGGTTGGCACAATCAGAAGATCACATTAATGACTTTATAATTTCAGTTGGAAATTAATGCTCCAAAGGAAAGAAAGGAAATAATCAGGGAGTCTGGCCTAGACTTAGAGATACATAAAGCCTCTGTTGCATTGACTTTGGAGCTAAAATATACTGGATAAAGAGGCATCAGGGGAGATGAGAGCAATCCAGAGCAGCACAGTATATGCAAAGATCCTGTGGTAGGTAGCAGGGTACATGGTGCCTTTGAGGAAATGAAAGGAAGCCCCTGTGGTTGGAGCAAAGGGAATGAGGGGAAGGATGAGGAAAGAGCATTAGTAGTTAGGACCAGACCAAGCAGGGACTCATAGATCCTGGGGAGGATTTGCTCTTTGTTTTAACAGTAATGGGAAACCTTTTGTTTTGAAAGCAGAGTGTTAGAATCAGTTTACATTTTGAAAACACCAACGGGATTAGAGGGGATCCAAGTGCTGTGGTGAGAACAGGTAGTGGTTGTTATAAAGTTACCAGCTAGGTGCTGAACTACGAACTACGAGGCAGGGGGGAATGGAGTAAAGTAAGTAAGTTTGGGAGAGATTTCAGAAATAAAATTACAGGTTTCTCTCCTCTTTCTCATCTTCCCTCTCCTCCCCATCTCTCCTCCTTCAACCCTTCTCCACCCCGTCTCTCCCTGTCTTATTTTCCAAATTAATATTTAAAATGCACATAACTGTAAAATTCACTTTTTATGATGAGTTTTGACAAATGCACATGGTTGTATAATCACAAGTGCAACCATGATACAGAAAACTCCCATCACAGAAAACCTCCCGCGTGCCACCCCTTCACAGGCAGACCCTCGCCCAGCCCAGCTCCCGGGAGCTGCTGATCTGCCCTCCACCACCGCTTGTGTGTTTTCCAGACTGTTGTGTGAGTGGAATCTTACAGTGTGTTGCATTTTTTAGTTTGGCTTTTTTTATTTTTAATTTAGCAAAATGCACTGGAGATTCGTCCATATTGTGTGTGTCAATAGTTCCCTCCTTTTTCATTGCTGAGCAGTATCCCATTTTAGGGATCTACCCGGGTTTTATTTATTTACCAGACGAGAGATACTTAGGTTGTTTCTAGTGTTAGGCTACTGGAGCTTCTATACATGTACAGGTTTTTGTGTGAACATGAATTTCAGTTTCTCTTGGGTAAGTACCTAGGATAAGTTTGCTGAATTGTAGGTAAATGTGTGTTTACTTTTATAAGAAACTGAAAAACTGTTTTGAGAGTGGCTCTGCCATTCTGCATTCACATTAGCACTGTATGAGAGCTCGGCTCTGCATCCTCGTCAGTATTTGGTGTTGGGAAAAGAAAAGAAAAAAAGTGGACATTCTGGTGTGTGGCTGTATCTCATTTTTTTAAAAACAGATTCTACATATAAGTGAGATCATATGGTATTTGTCCTTGCCTCTCTATTTCACTTAGTATTCTGCTCTTAAGGTCCATTCATGTTATCCCAAATGGCAGAATCTCCTTGTTTTTAAAGACTGAATAATATTTCATTGTGTTTCTACATCACAATTTCTTTATTCATTCATCTGTCAACAGAAACAGGTTGTTTCCATATCTTGGCTATTGCGAATTATGCTGCAATGAACAGGGGAGGGCAGATGTCCCTTCACCTTCACCTACTGATTTTTCTTTTTCTGTGTTTTTGGTATATACCCAGAAGAGGGATTGCTAGCTATTATGGGAGTTCCTTTTTTAATTTTTTGAGGAATCTCCATAGTGTTCCCCTTGGTGTTTTCCATAGTGGCTATACCAATTACACTTTCACCAACAGTGCACAAGGGTTCCCTCTTCTCCACATCCTTGCCATCGTGTGTTATCTTTTATTTTTTGGGTAGTTGCCATCCTCACAGGTGTGAGGTGATATCTCACTGTGATTGTGGCTTGCGTTTCCCTGGTGACTAGTTGGCTGTCTGTATGTTTTCGAATCTTCTGCCCATTTTTAAATTGGGTTATTTGTTTTTTCTTTTCTTTTGCTATTGAACTTACATGTTTTGGATATTAAACCATTATCAGATATATAACTTGTAAATATTTTTCCCTATTCTGTAGGTTCACTTTTCATTGTGTTGATGGTTTCTTTTGCTGCCCAGAGGCATTTTTGTTTGATTTAGCCACTTTGTTCACTTTTGCTTTTATTGCCCTTGCATTGGTGTCAAATCCAAAAAAAAATCATTGCTAAGACCATGTCAAGGAGCTCACTGCCTATGTTTTCTTCATGGAGTTTTATGGTTTCAGGTCTTATTTTCAAGTCTTTAATCTATTTTGAGTTTTTTTTTGTATATGGTGTAAGATGGTGCTTCTGTTTCATTCTTTTGTATGTGGCTGTTTAGTTTTCTCACCATTTATTGAAGTTTCTTCCCCATTGTATATTCTTGACTACTTTGTTGTAAATTAATTGGCTGCATGTGTGTGAGTTTAATTCTGGGCATTTAGTTCTATTCCATTGGTCTATGCACCTGTTTTTATGCCAATACCATACTGTGTTGATTATTATACCTTTGTAATATAGTTTGAAACCAAGAAGCATGATGCTTCCAACTCTGTTCTTCCTGAAGATTGCTTTGATTATTCAGGGCATTTTGGTAGTTCTATGTGAAATATAGAGTTGTTTTTAAATTTTTTTTGTGTGAGAAATGCCATTAGAATTTTGATAGGGGTGGCACTGAATCTTTAGATTGCTTTGGATTCTAGTAATCTAGAATAGAAACATTTTAACAATATTAGTTTTTCCTATCGATAACTTGGGATATAGTTTCATTTATTTTTGTCTTCTAAAATTTCTTTCATCAACGTTTTAAAGTTTTTATTGCACAGATCTTTTACTTCCTTGCTTAAATTTGCTCCCAAGCACTTTATTCATTTTGATGCTATCATAAATGATATTGTTTTCTTTTTATTTTTTAAGTTGATTTTGAGAGAGACATTGGCTTGTTGTTCTACTTATTTATGCATTCATTGGTTGCTTCTTATACATGCTGACCGGGGATCAAACCTGCAACCTTATTGTATCAGAACCATGCTCTAAACAACTGAGCTATCTAGCCAGGGCAGAATAGTTTTCTTTAAATTTTTTAACTTTCTTTCAAATAGGTCATTGTTGGTGTAAAGAAATGCAACCGATTTTTGCATATTGATTTTGTATCCTGCAACTTAATTGGATTTATTAGTTGTAGTGTTTGTGTGTGTGTGTGTGTGTGTGTGTGTGTGTGTAGCCTTTAGGGTTTTATACAGTGCATATTGGATCGTGTCATATGCAAACAATTCAATTTCCTTAATAGATAGGAGTAATCAGGTTATTTATTTCTTTTGGCCTGTTCCACTGTGGCAGTGCAGATCTGGGGTTGGCCTTAGGGCAAGGCTAACTGAGAAAAAAGAGAAGAAAAAGGGAAGAAAACCAGGGACTTTTTCAGGTTTTAAAACTTTTTATTTGCATATTAAAAAATTGTGCATTTCAGTAATTAAAATAATTTTAGCAAAAAATGGCACTCTGATTAAACTGCATTTTACAGCCTGCAGGACACCTTGGACCAGCTTGGTTTTTACTCTGGATTTCACTGTTGTCCCACCGAGCTTCTTCCTTCACCAACATGCAAGTTCTTTTCCTTCCCTGCCAGCCAGAGAGGCAGATGGGAGAGGCAGGTGCGACCTTCATTGTCAGTAGTTCTGATGTGAAAAGGGGCAGCACAGTTGTTTAAATTGATCCAACCTCTTTGCAGCTTACAAAGTTAAGCAACTAAAAGAAATAAAATATGAAGGCGATGCTTGTGGAATCTACAGTGCATATTGGCGGTGCAGGCCTCATTACGATTTGCCTGCTTGCTTCTCCTGTTCAGTCATTTCTTTGGAAGACAGTGGATTTTTCTCTTGTGTTTCTGTTTTTAATTTTGACTTATTGAATTTCTCAATCTTGGCCATATCGGGTTTATCAGGCATGGTTGCTGAGGAAGCCAAGGAAGGCACATGAGTGAGAGAAGAGTCTGATCTGCTCAGTAACCACCACTGAATCCATGGACTTTTTTATACTCTCCAGTATATGGGGGCCCTCTCTCTGGGTCTTCTGGATAGGAATAGGGAGTTTCTCCTGGAGATGTTGCTGTGCATTTCCATGATTCATCCCCCATTGGTTCAGGTCCCATTGCTGCTAATTGTTTAGTTTTCAGAGTCCATGGGTAGTTGCCTTTTGTATTATGTGCAGAGAATTTTTAACTGTATTCAGTAGGAGTCATACACATCCAGCTTACTGCATCTTGATTGGCACTCGAAGTTGATGTTTCTTTTTGACTCTGCCCATCGAGAACATGGAGGCCATGGCTAGGTCACTCAGTTCGTTAGCGTGTTGTCCCAGTATGCCAAGGATGCAAGTTTGATCCATGGTCGGGGCACATACAAGAATCAACCAAAGGATGAATAAGGAAGTGGAACAACAGATCGGTCTCTCTCCCCCCCTCTCTCTAAAATCAATCAATCAATAAAATTTGAAAAAGAACACTTGGTCAAACTTGGGTAGAACATACTGCAGGGAGGGGAAGAACAGGATTTACCTTCAGACTATCAGAAACAAATGGGAATGGGAAAGATGATCTGTAGTTTTTAAAGTGAGATTGGAGCCCTAAATGGACAAGAAAATCAGAAGTCACTTCATCCAGATCATCCATGACACCCTAGAAGTATTTGATTTAAAATATTCCTGGAAGTTTGTTGAGACAGTCAAGTTCACCAAATTATTTGTTCAAGAACAAAGAGACCCCTTAGGGATAGAGGAGTCTAACTTCAGTTTAATAGGTACCTGAGCACCTGTTAAGTATTGCTTTTTCTGTATTCTTCTTTAATACCATATCAAAACTCCCAAAAGTGATAATTTCTTAAAAGTTAGTTTCAGCACAGAATCTGAAACTTTACCAATGAACTTTTTGTATTCCTACATGAAAATCCATTAGCCTGTCTTGCACTGCAAATAAATGTTTTTCCTGTGCATTATTTTGTAACATGATGAATTAGCCATTTAGAAAATTCAGTTATATTGATCTTGCATATGTCAGGACTTTTAATTACACAATATTAAAGAATCCCATTCATTAATATACCACCAATCTCATCAAGAGAGTCTTTAAACATTGAGAATGTCAAGCACACAGGGGCAAATTTTCTAAAATTCTAATTTTTGCTTGAAAGCTTGAATTTTATCACTGGCAACAAATAGTTGTTTTCTTTGAGGTGGCAGGCTTAATTCACCCATTTTTAAGAAAATGTCTATCACATACTCAAATCTGAATACCTATAGTTGTCATCATTCTTTCCAGTAAAAATAGTGTCTCATGAAGAAAGCCACCAGTTCAGCTCAGAACTCAGTCACTTAGTGCCTCCCCTCGACACAGCCACTGCACTTCGATGAGCCGCTGAGGTGCTCCATGTACGCTTCTGATTTCTTTACACAGAGACCGCAAACATGTGTACCCAAGACCAGTATTTGATTAATGAGTTTTACTGTTTCATCAAGGACATTCTTAAATTCACTTTTCTTTTCTTCCCACACAAGGCACTGAAGAATACAATGACTGTTTGTGTAATTTGGCACACTGCCTTGGCTTGCTCTGGGTGCTAGCACTTTTACTCACCTTGGCTTTTGCATCAGCAGTGCAAATGTCAACACAGTAAAAAAGACATCTTAGTATTATTCTGGAAATAGATGTGATCTGGTGAACCCCCTGAAAGGATCTTGGGATCCCCCAGCAATCTGCAGACCTCAGGTGCCACTGCTGTAGACCAGCTCATTGATGAGAGAACGGCACGAGAGGAGATGTTACCTGAGATGAACACTCAAGGATGGGGATCCTTTCACAGTCTCAGCTATGAAAGGGGGATGTGTGACCTTACATGGGGCCCAGAAGACTGGAGAAAACACTTATTGAAATGATTTTAGCCATTGGGCTTCTAGCATCGGGAACAGTGGGAAGTTGCATAGGTAGGGCTGGGTCAGATTGCAGAGGCTGTGGATACCTTTGGAAAGAATCCAGTGCTGGGATTCAGGAGATTTGGATTTTATCTGGACTGTCCCTAAGAACTAATATTAATCTAGGACAAATCCATTCATCTTATGTATCTTCATGTTTGGTACATACTACATGCTCAATAAATACTTTGTGCATTTGAATTGTTATTTCTTGGGAAAACTAAGTGGCTATATTTTATTTTCCTGAGGGTTCTATAGATACTGGAATTATTTCTGTTGTTACTCTACAGTTGAGTTGACTGAGGTCTGATAAGGGAAATGCGAGGCACATAGAGAGTGAAGGATCTGGAAGTGAGGCCACAGTCTCCTGACTTCCAGCCAGGCTATTTTTGTTCTCCGTTGTGCCTGCTCACTGGTGTTCTGCTTCCCATACCTGAGACACTTTCTGCTTACACAGTAACTGTCGCTCCCCTGACCCACTTCCTACCTGCTTTCCTTATCCAGCTGGTCTGATTTTGTCCTCCAAGAAGGCTGTTAGCACATACTTCCTTTGTGGCACTTATTACAAATACAGTTAAGCAGTCAGCAGGACAAAGTTCTCATTCTGGTTTGTTGAAGAGACTTCACTGAGTGTCCTCATTCTTAATTTTATTTCTTTTCTTACATGATAATGGTCTGTCCTGAAGCCTTTCCAGAGTACCTCAGTACGTATATACTAAGATGGAGGGGGAAGAAATAAAAATGAAGAAGTAAAAAAGAAGACCCATCCTGGGTCTCCTATGTCCCCAAAGAGGAGAGTCCTCCATCCTCCACCCAGCCTTATGAAGACTTCCCAGTTCCTGGAGTTACTGTGGAAATGTGCTCCAGTACCAAAAATAAATTAAAGTATTCTGAGTGTCTTGCAAACCAGCAAATAGAAGTTCTGACTTTTGTTCCCAAAGTCTGTGGTTGCTTTCTTCATTAAATTCTTTTTTAATGTCTCATTGTCCCCATGTGGCCATGGAAGCTGGATGTGTTGATTCTCCTTGCAGAAGCTTTGCCAAGAGGCATGAGAGGTTTGTAAGCTCTCTGGCCATCAAGCTGTGATTTTAAATGAGAAATGATGACCATTTATCTCCTTTCTGTCTTGGAAGCAGAAAATCTGCCACCATCTGAGCTCCCTCCGTGGACATCTTAGCTCATGCAGACTTCCCTTGGGAAGGGGAAAGGGTCTTTGCCTATATGCTTTCTTCTTCCCCACACTCCTCCTCCCCAAAAGCCCTTCACTTCTGCGTCATCTCATCCTGTTGCCCAACGGCTTCAGCTCTCCTTGCTCACCCTGCACTGTGGTTTTGCAGGCATGAGGGGACATGCCTGGGTATTGATCGCAGTGGTTAGAACAAGCACTGCCTGTGCATCTTGGGCGGAGGTCTCTTGTCTCCCCACACTGCTCTGGCTCTCACTGGACAGACCCTCTGGGATGCTGTCAAGCTTCAGTTCCCCTGACTGGACCTCATCTTTCTTTTATTTAAATCAGCTGTGACACCTGGCAGACCCACACCCCCCCCAGGGGCCTAGGCAACCCCAGATGCCACCAGCATGTGCCAGGGTCATTGTCTTCAGAGTGCACTCAGGCCACTCCATTTACTTCGTACAGACACAGGATGAAGAATGTCAGGGCTAGAAGGGAGCTAAGAAGTCATGTAGTTCAGCCCCTTAGTGCAACATCACGAAATAATTTTATAGGAAAATGAAGACTCACTCCACAGCTACAACTGTTAGCATGTGGCCTAGTGATGCTGTTTTGACTTTAAATAAAATAATCCTAATTTCAATGCTAAAAATAATTTTTAAATGTTAGTAGAAACGAGCACAGGGTTCTAAAAGTGTGCAAACCTTTGTCATAGCTTTGTAATAAAGGAAAACTGTCATACTGAAAGTCAAAGGCAGTGAACCAACACATACCTGCAATTATGTGTGCATGCATACACACAAAGGAAGGGAAGGGCATTCTTGCATAGTATTGGGTGGTAATTCTGTGGGTGCTTTCTTTGTTATTTCTATTTATTTGACCTGAGGAGAGGGTCCTTTTTCTATTTCCTTGCTCTATGGCTGGAGAGAAGTATCAATTCCTGTTTTCTGGGAAACATTTGTAGTTGTGTCTGGACACCAGTGTGGTCTCTCTGCGCTGTTTGTCTGTCCATCTTTCTGTCTTGTTTTCCTGCTCTGGGTTCTCCCAGCAGGCCCCAGGCTGTCCACCTGCTTGATGCCCCGCGCCTGGCCACTGCTCAGTGCCACGTTCACCAGGCTGCACAGACTTCTGCTGATCTGTGCCATGCCACTCACCCCAAGGCTCTGTGGGACAGTTGAAACTGATCCTAGGGAATAATTCAAGTTAAAGTGGTGAGGAGTAGTAATGGCATTATTTATAAACATGTGCATTTTAAAGCTTTTGATCCCTTAATTCTAAAAAATGTGAGTGCAACAGACCACTCAAGCAAGAGGCAGAAAATAGCTTTTCTTCTCTGGATGATGCATTGAATGGCTCAAGCCATAAAGCTGACACCAGTCATGCAGAGCCCAGGCTGAGTCCCTTCCTCCGTCCTGCTGTCTAAGTCAGATTATACCCACATGTACTCCAGGTGTGTCTTTCATGAGTATTTATCTGTCTATAGCTAGGTCATAAGCTACTAATGAAAAGGCTCCCTATCTTTTAAATCCAGTTCTTTTGCACAAACAACAGGAACTTAATACGTGTTTGTCAAAGATGAAATATTACTAAGGCTGAAGGAGTCAGCAAAAAGTCTTTCCCAGTGTTTGGAAACTGCTTATAGAACCTTATTGGAAAGGCCTTGCGGAGGCTTGGATTTTGTGCTGCTTATAAATACCAATTAGCTGAAACCCTCCAGTGAAGGTGGTTTCTTCTCCCTTCAGCCAATTCCTGTTGCAGGTTTCTCTTGTGGCTGGAATGTCTGCTTCCTGCAGAGACCTGCCCGGGAAATGAGCCTTAGGTGCT